ACAGAACACAGAAAAGGAAAAGTTAAGAACCCGAACATGGACACACCCTGTACTGTACTGCTGTCATTTTTATGTTTTATTTGTATTATTTGCTGGAAGTGCTGCTGCTTCATCTAATTTTATATATGGAACTTACTTAAGGCGTAAATGACAAGATAAATAATTAGGTTTTATCTTAATCTTAATTTAAAAATATTAAATAAATAAAACAAAACAAAACAAAAAATAGAAAACAAAACACAAAGCGCGAAACGCGAAACGAAGCAAACAAGAAAACAAACTAAAAAAAAAACAAAACTTAGAGAAGCAAGATATATTAAGTAGACGGTAAGGCAGTACAGGTACGGCTAACGGGGTATCGTATTCTACACTGCCTACTGCCTTACCATCTATAGAATGTACCTTGCACAAGAGCACGCAAAACACCGCTACTAACACACACACACACCCACACGTGCTGCTGGATGGGCAGGCGCGCGTGCGTGTGTGTGTGTGGGTGCCCCAATTTGTATACTAAACTTTCTCATAAAAAACAAAAAATTAAAGTGCTACATAGAAGAGATCGAATCTGTCTCCTGATTCTAGTGGCCAGCTAGCTCCCCCCTGCATTCCGGAGAGGTAGGCTGAGCTGAGGCCAGAAAACGACAGAGCGAGAGAGAGAAAGAGAGAGAATAGAAAAAGTGCTGCTGTTGATACCGTGTATTCGTGTAGTTGTTTTTGCAAACAAAATATAAACACTCAGCATCTCGATATCGATATATAACGTGTAGTTATTAGTGTATAATTTGCTAGGATGTAAATGTATGTCCCTCAAAACTTAATTTAAATATTTAATTAATATACATACATATATGATATACAATACAGTCGTTGTCTTTGTCGTTTCAAAATGGAGAAACAGGGTATTTCAACGCTCATCGTTCATTTAAATCGTGACAGCAGTAACGGGTTCGCCCGCGCTCATATCGGAAACAGTCTGGCAACGCTTATAGCAATCGTTATCGTTTCCAAATTGGTATATCGTGAGACATATCGACTCTCCAGCCCTACAAACAGGGTGAGGTATATTTACGGTATATCGGTATATAATGGTATATTTTGCCAGTTTCATCAATCTATTAATTTAATTTTCAATTTTATATAAAAATCCAATAAAAGGAAGTATTTCGATTAGGCCAATCATGTATAGAATAGATTCATCAATCGTACAAAATTGAGTGGGCATGGCTAAATGTTCCATATAGATAGTATTATTCAACGGAACAAAGAATATGAGGAATTGGTCGTTTTTTTTTATTCGCCGTAGTTCGCCGCAGTTCGCCGCATTTCGCCCCAATTCGCTTTAGCAACAATGAGTCTCATTCCATACACAAATGTTGCGCATTCCATACACAAAAGATGCAGCAACATTTACTTGAAAACCGTTTTTTGGTCAAAATAAAATACATTAAGGTGATTAAAAGAAGCAATCTTGTAGAAAATACATTTATCTATGGGATAAAGCTAAGTGGGGAAATCTATATAGCTTGAAATATAGGCAATACCCGATTCGCCGCAGTTTCGCTATTGCAACAATGAGTCCTATTCCATACACAAATGTTGCGCATTCCATGCACAAATGTTGCTAATTCCTTGCACACATACCCTGGGGGAAATGGATGTTATAGAATTTTGAATACGTTTGTCTTCCAAGGCTCAGTAGGTATCAGGATCGAGATAAATATACAAAAGATACTAATAATGTACTTTAATATGTCTAAGGAATATCAATTTGAGAAAAGGTCTTTATATATCACTTTTCATCTTCATATAAAATTAACAAAATAGGGTATACAAAGGCCTACACGCAACATAGTGACTCTTTTTTTGTTGGACTTTTTCGTTCAAACCTTTTTTTACAATAAATACAATAAAAGCAAGGATTAAAAACTATCCAATCTTGTAGAAAATTTATTCATCAATGGGATAAAACTATGTGGGCATTGCTGAGAGATTTAGTTAGTCAGCATTATTCAATGGAATATCAAAATTAAGCAATATGAACGAATTTCCCTTTTCGTTTGTTTTGATTGACCTATTTCGCTACTTGTTTTTTGTTTGACTTATTTCGCTAAAACCTCTTTTTACGCAAAATCCAATAAATGCAAGTATTTAAAATAAGCCAGTCAAGTAGAAAATTGATTTATTAATCGGATAAAATTATGTGGGCATGGCTAAATGTTCTATTTAGCTGGTAATATTCAACGGAACAAAGAATATGAGGAATATGGTTTCCAATCCTGACGGAGAACGATTAACGATTACAAGCCAAGGGGGTATTTCAATCCGCGGCCTCTAAACGCGGCATTTTTTTTTTTTTAATTTGTTTACATTTATTGTCACTCAAAATGGATTTAAATACGTTGCTGCAGCGCGCCCAGAACCTGACAAATGAGGCCAAAGCCGAGTACGAGATGCCTCAGGTGGAGCGTACGCTCCAACAGGTGTTGCAGGCCACCACGGACCTACACTCGCGCGTCACTCAGTCCAGCAACAAAGATATACAAGCGTAAGTAAATAAAGCAATTGTGCGATTTCCCAGGCTGATCATGTTTCTGCGGCAGGCATATACTGCTCGGTTCCAAGGGCATAGATCTTCCCAAGCTTACCCAAAAGCTGGAGGCGCTCAATGCACGAAAAACCTTCGAACCGGTCGATGTGGTTGGGGCTGACACGGATGTGTGCACGTTCCTGAAAAACGAGCGCGAGAACGCCATACTTTCAGTGATTGAGGATACCAATAAAAACGTGAGTACATTGTTTTGCTGCTCCTCCTACATTCACTAGAATGGCCTTCTCCTTCTTTAACAGATAAGTGAGACGGTGAGCAAACAGAAGTGGGTGAACCTGAACAGCACTTGGAATGAGGAGAAAAGCCGGTTGCTGGACGCCCTGATTGGACCCTCGCAGAACTTTATCGATCTGCAGCGTCTGCCAGAGCACATTACCCTCGATCCTAATTTGCCGATAAGCAGATGCCTCAGCCCAATGGAGCTTATCTACGCCCAGGAGCTGCGCCACTATAACGAACTGCTGCTGAAGGGCGCCCACCGACCAAATCTTGTGCAGAAGTTCGCCGTGTTGACCAGCAGCTTTGGCAATGATCGGCTGACGGACATGTGGTCAACGGTGGCCGCCGTAACGCAGGTGAACGAGCCCCTCCACAGCGATCCCATCAAAGCTCGCCAGCAGCGGCCAGAGTTTGTTATTAACGCCAAATCGTGTCTCGAGAGGCACTACAAGATCTACATGTGCACCCTGGTGGGGGCTGCCCACTCCAGCAATTGCTATCAACTGGTACGTGCCTATGTGACCAATCGATTCAGTGCTCAGCAGACAATCGGCCTGGTGGACACGTTGGACGACAAGCCACTGTGGCCCATGGTCTACTATTCCCTGCGCTGTGGAGCAGCAGAGGCGGCTGTGGAATTCCTGCACGAGGCCGGACCCAGTTACGAAGACTTTGCCCAGGTCATCGCCGATCGCAGCGCGGGCGCCGTGAATTCGAGGACAGAGACACAGCTGAAGCTGCAGTACGCCAACAAGATTAAGAACTCCACCGATGCATATAAGAAGGCAGTGTACTGCTTAATCCTGGGCTGCGACCCCAACGAGTTGCACGGCGAGGTGGCCAAGACTATCGACGACTATTTATGGATCAAGCTGGCTATGCTCCGTCCCGGGGATGCCGCCGGCTATGGTAGGCTCCAGTCGGAGATCCTCGAGAAGTATGGAGAAAAGCATTTCCATGCCAGCAACCAGACTGACGTCTATTTCAAAGCCCTGGTTCTTGTCGGCCTTTTTGAAGCCTCGATTGAGCTACTGGCCCGCAATGGTCAATCCGTTCATGCCGTCCACATGGCCATTGCCCTGCACGAGCTGGGGGTGTTGGGCGGAGCCCGCAGTGTCTCGCAACCATTGCTGTCCATCGACATCGCCGACCCTCAGCCGCTGCGCCGCCTCAATCTGACGAGATTGGTCCGGCTGTACGCGCAGCGCTTCGAGCGCATGGATACGACGGAGGCTCTTAACTACTACTTCACCCTGCGTTGCTTGCGAGATCCGAAGGGCCGGAACATGTTCCTCACCTGCGTCTGTGATCTGGTGGTAGGCAGCGGGGCGCTGGATACCAGCATTTTCGACTTGATATTCGGCCAGCGGATGACTGATGCCGACGAAGAGGTTCCAGGGTGAGTCTGAGTGTATTTCTCCGTGTCCCCCCACCAGCATACCATCACTTTATTTAATTCCTTTCTCAGAGGAGTATTCCGTCAATTTGATTGTCCGGAGTTCGACACGAACACCACGGCCTCGCTGATCGCAGAAGAGCTGGTTGCCCGAGGCAGCTTCGAAATGGCCGTGCGGCTTTACGAGTTGGCTGGCAACTACAACCTCGCCCTGAAGCACTTCAACATTCTTCTGGCACAGGTCGTGCAGTTGTCGCCGCAGGAGGGATCACAGCGGGCCCGTCTTCGAGACGAGGCTAATCGATTTAGCAGACTCTTGGCAGCGCTCCGTATAGATGTCGAGCCCAAAATAAGGGGCAGCTTTGCACTGCTGCAGCTGCTCCTCGTTTTCTTTGACCTCCATCATGAGGGGAAGCTGGTTCAAGCTCTAGAACAGCTGCAGCGCACGAAGCTGATGCCAAACACCACGGATGATGTGGAGGGCTGTTTGACCACCATCAAGAAACTCAGCGGAGAGGTCATCAAGGTGATCCCCGACGTGATGGTGGCTGCCATGGACATCACACTCACCCAGTACAACCAGGTGATGCCGTCGGGCACCTGTAGCTCGAATCAGCTGCAGTTGCAGCTCGAAAAGTTGCGAGTGCGGGCCAAAGCATTGTCCAACCTCGCCGCCAGCATGCCTTTCCGCATGCCCTACGAAACCAACAAACGTCTGATGCAGCTGGAGCTGATGATGCACTAGAATAAAAGTATGCTAACCTCTACAGGAGATCAGATATGTACTCTATTTATTTCATCAGCATGAAAATGTACTCCTCCTCTTCGGTGTCTGCGTGATCTTCAAGTCTCTGCTCAAGTTCCTGTATTCTAAGAAGAGCAGCAGCCAGCTGCTGGTGCAAGTTAACGCTGATGTCTTTGGTTCCTTGGCAGGATGGACATGAGTCAGCCCCATCAGTACCTTTCGAATTGTCCTCGTCGATTCCCTCATCTTCAGCCTCGTTCCTGAGAGGGAGATCCAAGGGATCTTCAGTGTCAGTGCCAAGATTCAGTTCAGGTAAGGCTTGCTTTGGCAACTTGCTGTTTTTGTTGGGCAGCAGACTCGGACGAAAGTGTCTGGAGCATATGAACGGCCACTTTAGTCCGTCTTTAAGCCTGCACAGCTTCATCCACTCTGTCCGCAACTGCGGCTCTGTGGGAAAACAGTGCAATCTATCGGGCGGCGATCGTGTCGTGCAATCCCCGATGCAGCACTTTCGCACCAACTTTTTCTTCTTTGCGGCGCCATGGTGCAGTCCGTCTGTCTTGCCTGAAAATCAAAGAATCGTGAGAGTATATCTCCTTTAGCTACTACTAATAGTGACCTGACCTACCCACAAAGAGCGTTGGTACTGCCCAGGCGAACAATTTGGACTTGCCGAAACAGTGCGGCTCAAAGTGTCGCCGGCACACCCGTCGATTCGAGAGTTTTGCGTCCTTTGGCATGCAGAGATTCTCCATCCACTTCAGCCTGACGCCCGGCTTTGTAGGAAACTTGAACATAGAGCTGCTGTCTTGCATGCCACTCTCGTGACATTCGGAAACCGTGCAACGAAGACGTTCATATTTAATCATTTTTTTGTTTTTTTTTTTTGTTTATGTGACCCTGAAGTGAAATGGAGAAAGCAACAAGTGTTGTAAGCCGTTTCTAAGCTTGTCTTTAAATTTGGTCCTTTTCCATGCACTCCATTTTATATAATAGCTGGAAACTCGATGGGAAGTGCTACGACAAGTGCTATTTGGACAGCATTCAGTGCATCAAGCGTCTAAGATCATTAAATATTTATTTCAAATTGTTTTTTGTTCAACCGAAATTTATCCACCAACTTATCGATGCCCAAAAGTACTCTTTTTCCCGCTTCTCCGTCTGGTCACACTAAACGAAGGTGTTGGAAGTTTTTGAATCGGTTCAACGGAATATCAAAATAAGACCGATCACTCTCTTACTTGTTTTTGTTTGACCTTTTTCGCCCGAAGTAATGATAGTTTAATAATTTTAGACCAGTTCAGTTGAAAGATATCGTGGTTGTTTTTAAGTTCAGCGGAAAGATGACATGGATCTCCAAAAATTATTTACAATCAGTTATATTTTCCGCCGTTTCCTGAAGTCTTTGAACTGTTTAAATAGAGGCTTATCGATATACGATATATAATGCTATATTTTGTCAATTTCATCAATCTATTAAATTTAATTTTCAAGTTATATAGATATCCAAAAAACGCAAGTATTTCGAATAAACCAGTGAAGTAGAAAATTGATTCATCATTCGTATAAAATTATGTGGGCATGGCTAAATGATCTATATAGCTGAGAATATTCCACGGAATATCAAAAACGAGGAATATGTATAATATAACTTGAATTTGTCAGTATATTTATGGTATATTTTGAAAATGCGACGGTATATTTGCGAGTGTCTGAACGTACATTTCAGCGATAAATCCACGGTCACACTGACTGTCGAAAAAAAACTTCGAACGCTAAAACCTCTTTTTACGCAAAACGCAATAAAAGCAAGTATTAAGAATACACCAGTTAAATAGAAAATTGATTCATCAATCGTATAAAATTATGTGGGCATGGCTAAATGTTCTATATAGCTGAGAATACTCCACGGAAGATCAAAAACGAGGAATATGTATAGCACGACTTCAGTTCGTCAGTATATTTACGGTATATTTTTTAAATGAGATGGTCTGTTTCGGTATATTTCTGAGGGTCGCACGGTATATTTGATCGATAAATCCGCGGTCACACTGGTGGTAAGCGCGGAGAAAAAATTTTAACAAAAATTGCGTTGGAACGCCCATTTGAAAGAATATTTAACATTAAAAAAGTGTAGAACTACTCAGTGCATTGGTGCTGTATTAAAATATATTCCCCAGTTACGCGGCAGAGTGTTGGGGCCCAGAGAACAAGTCGGTACAAAGATTTCGCTTTTGTTGCCTCTCTGATGAGGGAATGTGTGCCGTGGTGTGTGTGCGTGCGTGTAATTAAACAAAAGTATTAAGCAAAAGTTACATATTTTGCAATCCGCGCCCGTCTACTACGGAGGAAAAAAGGCAGATACAAAGGCAGACAGACAATTGTCACAGTTGCAGCTGCGTCGCAGGCTGCACTTCCTACAACGGTTTTTGGGCCCCTGCTCCTGGATTTGCAGCTGCTGTTATTTGGCTGACGTTGTTGTTGTCATACTCGCACACACACACCACCTCTCGTTAACTACCTTGAAAGCCGTCGAGGCAGAGCGAGAGGGAAAGACAGAAGGCGCGCGCGGTAAAAAGTGCAAAGTTGATGCCGTTCAAATAAGCTTGGACACTGTGTGCTGTCTGTGTGTGCGTTTGTTACTGTTCGTGTGTGCGTTTGTGCGTGAGCACAGGCATTAGTCATTTTTGGCCTGGGCTAAAACTGGACTGGAAGATTGGGCCTGGCCTGGTCTTTCGCTCTTGTTCGTTGATCCCCGGCAACACATCATTTGGAGAGCATCAACCAAAGAGGGACACACCAAAGTCATCTGTGCGGATCGTCAAAAGGTTAGTTACCCGCTCTGCATTGACATTGGTGCACCCTGCACCCTGCACCCTCTTAACTTGGCCAATACTCGCACGCACCCCCACTTTATATCGTATATATGTATCCATCTGTTCAGGCTATTTGCTTAATTGAAATTACAGTCAAGGTCGTATTTGTTAATTAATTAAATGTTTGCCTGAGCTGTTGTGTTGTTTGTAGGGGGTTGGTAATACGAGAAGAGACTTTCAGTTGTTGCATAAACCCGATATGCTACGTTAGCTACCGACTGTTTGTTCACGCCTCAGCGATAAGGAATTCAGTGACATTTATGGATGAGAAATGTACATGCATACACATATGCGTGCATGCACTCATACATATATACATATGTATTTAATCGCTCCATCTTTGTCGTGCACTTGTTTGCCTGAAGCTCTTCCTTATAGCACAAGGCACCCTTTTCCACACTCTTTCCCACACACTTTGCGCAATGCAATGCCGAAGGAATTTCATTTTCGTGTTGTCACTTTCAGGCGCAGCAGGTGTGTCTTGCTTTTACTGTTTTGCCTCACTTTCCATGCCACCGACTCCATCCGATCGGCACATGGCGTCCATCCCTCGCATCGCCTCGCCGCGCCACTGTTTCGTTTCGGAGATAAAGTTCTTCAAAGAGTATGCACTCGTACGTATGTGGTACAATATCTGAAATGCTTCTGCGATCCCCGACTGCTTGTTCAAAACAGGAAACGGCTTGGGAAGCCTTTATCACAGAACATGGGATATGGTACTGCGCTCAGGGAGAGCAGGAGGGGAGGGTGGAGTGGATATGTGCACTCTCCAGCTGGCTCGCTGTAGCGAAACAAACTACAAACTACCTTCAAAAGAACATTGTTCTGTGAGCGTTCTGGAATGCACCTGTCAAGTGCACTTACTATATACTGGCCCATTGGACACACATTTTAGTGCGTAAACTTCAAGCTTTGATTGTATTCAACTTTGACCCACATTCGTCAAATGTCCCCCCCACATGGCACGCCACGCATCACAGAGAGAGTGAGAGAGAGAGAGAGGGAGCTCGCACTCGCTGATGCAGCAGCTCCTCGTATAATAGTTTTTTGTAGTCGAACGTGCAATTTTAGATCGCATTGTTTGCTTAGAATTCGCTACTGCAAGAAATAAGTACATACACAAATGTGTATTTGTGTATCCACGACAAATGCATGCATATACTTAGTCATATAGTACTATGTACTTGCATATATGTACGAATGCATGCAAATAAATTATAGAATGAATTGCATGCGCTGGAAAAAAACAACAGAGAATAACCATAAGCACGACGGCACCGCAACGAGAAACGTGCTGACAATGCCGAATGGTGCGGATGATTTTGCCAATTTTGATTTCACCTCTCCAACGGTGTTTTCATCCTCCTCCATTCCCTCTCGTTCTAAGCGGGGCATTTGCGCAAAAAGTAATACATATGTATGTACGTATATGACAAAAGGTGAAAAGGAAAAGAAGGATTGGGCCAGCTTCGAGCCGAAGCTGTAGACACTCTAGACACTAGACCATGGCGAAATTACTTATTAGGTGGTGTCTTCACCTGATCTGCTCGCTTTCGAGGACCATCCGTTTCTCGAACGTCGCTGAGAACCGAGAGAGCGGTTTGGAAAGTGGATGGTCCTGACCCTTACGTGGCTGTGGCTGTGACCCGTGCTTCCTTATAGGGAAGGGACTGTGACTGGGACTGGGACTTGGGACTCTTCATCTTCATGGAAAAAACACAAAAGCTTACTAAAAATTTAAATTCAAACCAGTTCTCTCTCAGTGTTTGTTTCGACTCGTTTTAAAGTCTTCCCTACGCAAAGCCCATATAACTATTTGCCTGTGTATTGGTTTTGGATTATGTTTCACCGTTTCGGGAAGTACAAGACAAGGTCCGGGCCGGGGCGGGAGCGGAGCAAAGTGTTTCGTTTTGGCCGCTTGCGTTGAACGCTAAATTTGATGATCAAATATTTATTACTCGTTTGTTGTGACGCCACATTCAAGCTGTGTCTATATACTCATCGCTAATCATTGGGGGAGTTCATTTACTGAAATTTAAATCGAAATCTTTAACCCTCTGCCCACTCATTTCCACTAATTAATAGATCTTTAACTCAATGGAACCTTAACCCCAAAGCCACACACAAAGCTGGGCTCTGTTTCCATTTCCATCTCCATATACATATATCGCTTATTCTTTCTTTTTATTCTTTATCTCTGGTTCCCAACATAATCGTACGCTCAAGTCAAAGACTTTGCGTAAAGTGAATGATATCGGTTTTTGTTCTCTTTGTAATTTGCTTTAATTGCACAAATGCATCATCGTCTCGTGGCATCTCATCATCTCTTTGGGGCACGTTCCATCCAGCCGCTCTCCATCATACATATGTACATATGTATGTGTCTATGTTCTTTATTCGGCGGCAGGTCGAACCGATCGCCAGAAATTGAGGCGTGTTTTTCATACTGAGGTTCATTTAACTTTTTATTCCGTGGCATTAAATTCAATTGGTTTCATCGGCGCTACGCCGTGCCTTCGTCCGCCCGTCCGCCCGTCCGTCCGTCCGTGGTCCGTTGTCTGTCGTCTGTCGCCTGTCGCCGTCGCCTTCAAGTTGTTATTGATGTGGCGCAGTGGCGTTGGGCGCTTCTGATGTGGTTTTCCGCTCCCGTTTGCTATTTTTACGCCAGATGAGGGCATCGGCGAGCCAGCCGCTCCTCTAGCGTGTAAGAGGTTACCTTTGGTCAAGGGGCGGTCAATGGAACGACCCTTTGTATGGCCATTATGTGTGATTGTGGTCTAGTGCGGGGTCCAGTCCATTCATATCCCTGGGCGTCGGATCACAGCGACTTAAAGAGCTATTGGAACCCATTAAAGTGGTTTCACCTTTATTTGGCATGCACCGCAAAAATATATACATATGTACATATGTTTGTAGGTATCCTATAGTCGCAATATTTACTGCATATATAGCTTCTGTCTTGTTATCTTTGTAACGAAAATAAAAGCCTTCAAGGTCGTCCCAGACGGTGCGAGTCTATGAAAATCTCGAGCTAGCAACGGAATTGCTTGGAGATGGGCGGATCGTGGGGGGGAGAACCGCAGAAAGCATAGCGCAGAAGCGTACAAAGTAAATTAATTAAAATGGAGCATGGAAATCGGTATTTCAAATGCAATTTTCAAGCCATCATCTCATTTCGTTTTCTTTTCTTTTCATTCCGTTTCATTCGATTATTAATATCGTCTGTCCGCTGTCGCTGTTGAGGCTTTGCTCTCACTTTGATCGTGGAGAAGGGGAAGAGCGAGAGGGAGGG